TCCAAAATCAATTCTGGCCACATAATGACTCGCCGTGTTTGTGGGCACAGCATGCCAATTGCTCCCCGGTAGGTGATTAATGGCCGACAGGTAAGGTAGCCATGGTAACCTGCCCACCTGAGCCACCGGAGTGAAGGGACTACATCGGATGCGATCGCCTTAATGACCTTGCCCCTTTTACATCTCTCTTTATATTTTTTTTTCCATCGTCCGATCCATCTCTCTGCATCCCCTCCTCCGATTCTCCAGCGTCCGTCCTTCTCGCTCTCCATTACCCCGCCTCTTCTTCTTCTTCTCTTCCTGCCTTTTTGTCTGAGATCCATTTGTGCTGCATTAGGCGAGATATGCCGAGAGAGAGAGAGGGAGGATGGAAAGAAGGAAGACGTGGAGAATGGATAGTGTCTGAGCTTTGCATTATAATGGAGAACTGTCTCAAGGCGGATTTGCCCTGCCTTGAAACGATGCATCCATCTGCATTCATTCGCCCGACTGTATGTGCGCTCAGGCCTCGCCTGCTTTTATGTGCCTCCCTCGTGGGAATGCCAGACACCCCGACTGGATCCCTGTTAAATATTTGTAATGGTAATTAGTTTTATTTGTTGTGCACCTACATTTCTTTCCTCTAATGGATTTCTATTGTTTTTCCAGTAGGGAAGTGTTTTGTGTGTGTCAGGAGGGGTTACAGTGCCTTCCTGTCCCATTATTTAACCCAGGCCATCAGTCACACTCAACAAGCCTATCATATGGAAGCGTTCGGAGGCTGTGCAGGCTAAAGTTAGCGTTATTATCTGCCTGTCACCGGCTAGCTGTGTCGGGGGGTCCCTTGTGGAAAACCAATTGTGTGACTGAATGCCTTCCTGCACAAGAGCAACTCCCAGAGTTTACCTTTCGGTCTTTCTCCACACTTTTCAACTCGCATTAGAAGAATTATGACATTTCGGCGTCGCAGGAGTCAGGTTTTTTTGGGAGTAGGTGTGAGGAGGAGAGAGACGGGGGGGAAAGCAATCCTCTTTAACTCTACAAGGAAGGGGATGATCTCGGTTTTAATCATTTCCGAGAGAGGCCTCATCAATCACACTGTATGCAGACAGTGTGCTTGATTAATATTCATTTTAGACGAGACACTCCATTTGCATGAACACACTGTCTGTCTCATGAAAATTACCGAGCCCTCCTCCTCCGCCGCCGCGATAAGCATCTGGACATGAAACAGTTGAAAATCTGAGACACGGCGCTTAACCCGGCAACGCGATCCCACTTCATTACATGGAGTTACGTGGGAGGGCTTCAAGCAGGCGTGACTAGTAACATCATACTTAGTCCCCCCCCCCATCAGATAACGCTGATGATCGAGTTTCACTTTGTTGCCGGAACATTGTATGGAAACGCCTCTGGATTAATGAGAATCATCTTTGGTTTCCTCGGGTCAGGAAGTGACGGATGGAGAGGTGCCTCCGGGCGCATCGGCGCGATGGTTATCTCAGCTCATATCCAGCATTAACTGCGTTTAAAATGAACACAGAGAGTCACCGCGGGCCCTGGAATTAAAGTTAGGACCCATCGGAGGAGATGTGATTCCCTCATAGGAGTGTGCGATTTTTAAATTGAAAATCTGACCGTCTTGGCCTTTTTCTTGACATTTCATGAGCCAAACAATCATTTGAATTGATCGAGAAAGTAATTATCAGACTAATGGAAATGATCGTTAGTGGCGGCCGTGCGTACGTCGTGCACCGGCAGCGTAATCGCGATTCTATATGTGCAGCGGTGGAGATTTGCCACTAATTTGCTGGTTTATTTGTCTCCTTAATGTCTGTGGTTGGGTTGTGGGCTGTGGTACAAATGAGTAAGCAGGACTGACAGATGTATGCTCACACCAGAGGTATTTTACTCAAAAACATGCAAGAAATGCGTAGATTTCCTTTGCAGAAATGCTCAATTAGACCTCATATTTGACATTTCAGTGCACATCCTCAGCAGAGAATCACACAAAATATGCACACAGGATTTCATTTGATCCCTTGTTACTCGAAAATATAATAAAACCTGAAAGGATTTTTTGCTGTTTGAGGCAAAGCAGGTCCACATGTAAAGCGCTGGTTTCAAATATGTAAAAACAACAGGCGCGCTGCATTCGCAATTTCCTTTTGCACTCGGAGCGAAAAGAGGCCAGAGGTAGAATTTACGGCGAGAAGGGCTGACCAGGCTGATATAAAATATATATGAAACAATTTTCCGTGAGAGAAATTACACCACGGCGGTGACAGGTGCTGCGACCGACGCCAAGGCGCCCCTTTATTATGATGTATTATGTATGTGTTTTTATTTAAGTTTCCCCACTTGTTTTTTTTTTTTTTAAATCCGTCGTCGTCATTGACAAAGCAGTCACACAGCATGTCTAATTACAACATAACACATTTGAGTCTCACCCAGTCGGAGGAGCAGGGGAGCATTATCAATGTCAAGCCTGCGCGAGGTGTTTGGTAGTAAATCAGTCAATCTTCTGCAGCTTTTATCACTGAAATCTTTCACAGGGAGCGTCTTCCACACTCCTCCCGAAAGGTGTTTTTTTTGCAACATCACCGCTTGTGGTTTTTCCCTTTTTGGCAGTTTTAAAATAATAGCTTCCCATTTCCTCTCCTTATTCAGTCACGTGATCGACACATTTTCCCGTCCGTTAATTAAAAACTGTCGGCGTTTACCACAACAAGGAAAAAAAATAAAATAACGTCGCTGATTAGGAATAAAAAAAAAAAATCTCCTTGATGTGGCTGAGAACAGACGCTGCAGTTGTTGCTAGGTCTGCTAAATGTTGGCCAGCTTATCTAAGGGAGTTATCCTAAATCCCCCTCAGAACAAGTACCCTTGAAACGTCAGCACCATAATGTATCATAAGGCTCCTTCTGGAATACAAGACGAGTTGGCAATGCCGGACCGGGCTTTTTTTTTTCTTTCTCCCTTTCCCTCCTTTTTTTTTTTTTGCTGTGTGTGTTTCATTGAACTGGGTCCAAACCTTTCTCATAAATATGTATTTTATGATGTGTTCTTTTGGCGGTTGATAGCGGTTCCTGTACCGAAGCCCACACGTTTTTTTGCTTTTTTTTTTACTTGAGAGCAAATTAACAACTGTGATAATGTTTTGGGAGTTTTTTCATTTTATGTGATGATTTCTTAACTAACACCTGTGCAATGTAGTCGCTTGTTACACACAAATTCTCTATCTAAAGCCTCTATCTCCTCCTGCTGCTGCTGCTTTTTCCCTCCCTGCAGGTTTTTTTCTTTCTTTCTCGTGGCACCACAAAAAAAAAGCCATATGCCAACAATCATAGGAAGGAATTTAGTCATAGATTTTCTTGTCTTGCTTCGCTTTTTAGTCTATATCTCTGCTACCACTTTAGAAATTGTCCCACGCTATAAACTTCAGGTCCAATTTGCCGGCCGGACAGCGTATTTGAATGTGATTATTCCTGGAATAATGCACTTCTTTTGCTTTTTTTTCTTTTTCTTTTTTTGTCAAGGGAGTCACAGCATCTGATTTGATGTCGGCTTTAATTTAGCTCTCCTGCAGCTGTCAAAGCGTTTTATTAAAAGCGCTGTTTACTCATAAGGATGTGACTTTGATGGAATATACTCTTTCACATCGCTATTTTAACGTCTTAAAAGTGCTGCAACTGGGTTTTTTTTATATGCAAAGAGTGGAGTCAGTTTTTTTTTTTTTTTTTGTTGGCGTTCTGCTTTCGTTCGCTCGCCAACACTTGGCCGATGAGCACGCTGACTTTTAACCTCCTGATGTTGCCCAAATGCTCCTCTTTATGCAGAGACTCATGATAGGCTCTCTGGCCTCCTGTTAAACCCGTTAATATCTGCCCCCCCCCCAAAATAAAAAAATCTGATTACTCTAATCGTGGATTTTCCAATTGGGATTTCTGAGATGGAGGGAAATGTCAGCGCCGACACTGCGATGAAACCCAAGAGGTGTATTTAAAATCTATTGTTCGTGCATCTTGAGATTTTCGACGCCACTCGACCTCCCAGGCGTCTTGTCCTTTTGATGCACATTTTGACCTTTTGCAACCAGATTTCGCAACCGTCCCACGACGGAATTAGCTCCCCCTGCAATATTAAAACGCGGCACGGGTTTCCTAATGTGTAATGCTTTGCATTGTGAGCGCGCGTCGGCTCGTGTCGTTTTTGCCAGAGATTATATTTCAGATCTGGGCTGATAGTGGATAATAGAAGGGTTTGGATGGCCTAATCATTAAAGCTGACTTAACCTTAATATCATGATATGGGTTTTATGGGGGATAATCTTTATGAGGCTCATCAGAATATAGATTGCTGATCCACCCTTTAGCAGCGTCGCTCTGTGTTCATACATCACGCTCTGATGCCGAGTTGCAAATTCTCACGCGTCACATTTGAATAATCTCGGCAGCCAGCGCCATGCTAATCACGTTTGATGTTTAACCGGCAATGAGCTTAGCGATGACTTCATCCGGTGTCGGGAGTTCAGCGGTGCAGAGGAGGCCAAATTAGCTCCTCAAAAAGTGGCCCGGTTGCCATTCGGGGGGCCATGGAAGTCGCTCTCGCAGGTGCAGAAGCTCCCAAGTCATGACGAGGGTGTGCGTTGCGCTAAACGCCCCCTCACATCCTCTGAAACCCCCCACGCAGCGCCGGCTTCGTCTCTCTGTGGGAGTGATTTGCCGGTAAGGTGCGGGGAGTTAACACTTCGATGAGCAAACAACAACAGAATATCCAGAAATACTCTCCTATCAGTTGACGCCCCGGTGCGACTCCGGCTGACTGGAGATTGAGCAACTTTTGCAATGTGTCACTAAAGCCCACGTCGCCATAAGGACGGCGCATGACGAGGCCGCGGCGCATCCATCTGCTGCGCTTCTTACTGGAAAAGACAACACTCCCATTGTTCTTGTAAATAAATGAATCACCCAGAAGTTTCTTCATTCTAACATGTGTGATTCTGGTTTTTTTTTTCCCAGATTTTGGACGGCATCTGGAATCCGAGCAACAGGACTTTGTGGTCTTGCGGGAAGAGTGGCGCGGTGGAGGGAACCGTGCCATAGAGGAAGCACCCAATTGGGGCGTTTGCCAGCCAAAGACTGAAGCACTGAACTCATCTGGGACCTTCGGCAGCGGGCGGTAAGAGGAGGAGGCCATGTGGACCGCACGCCTGCTAGTCCTCGCCAGCCTCTTCGCACCAGCCGCACTGGGTGAGTCTGGCTCATTAAAACAAGTGTTTGTCTGGTGGTGTATTTGCGTCTACGAGGACGCGCAGATGTGGGCACAAAACATACCCTTGCATTTTTGTGATTGGCATGGTTTGAAGCCCTCGCCGAATTTTTTTTTTTCTGTTGCTATCTAAGTGCCAGATTCTGTCAGCCAACTGCAATGAAAAGCCTCTGACTTTGTCTGTCTTGTTTTCGCCATCTATCGAGCTCCTCTCGCTAATTAGCAGTTTTTTTTTTCTTCTCTACTCCCTGAACTCCCTCAAACTTTTTTCTCCACTTTCTTTTTTTTGTCGTTGTTGTCTGATTTTCTCCAATCTATTTTTAGATCTGTCCCTCTTTCCTCCTGGCTCCGTCTCTTGCTCTCCTGGCGATAGGAAATGAACTCAAATTACTTTCAAAGAATCATTAACACCACTTTGGCGTCGCATGTTTAGGATTGTGAAAATTGCGGGAGCAAGAAGAGAGAGCGAGAGGAAAAAAAAAGAAAGGGGGAGGACATCTTTTATCAATTCATGCATTAAGATCTTAAGATTAATTTGCGAGGTCTTTATTTTGCCACGTCTCTGGGAAACGGAAACCGCTGTAGTTTTGCAGCGCGTTCCCTTCTGCGAATTGTTTCAGAGGCAAAGTAAATGAAGTCATTTAAATTCAGATTAAAAGAAGTCAATGGCGGTGGTCTGGTGGTTTGTGGGGTGTGGGTGCAGTTAGGATTTAGATGTAGGGAGTGTTGGGAGTGGGGCAATGGCCCATAAAAATGTTAATTTGATATGGCCAAAACCATTAATGGGAGATTTGAAGCTAATTGAATTGTTTTTGTGCTGTGATATCTGCGGAGGACGGCGGCGGCGGCCGGGTTCGCCATCCAGCGCTAATGAAAGCGCGCTCCTCTGGCACACTTCTTAGCTTTTCCTTAATGCTCAATAGAAGGAGGTCAGGGGACGGCAATATGTCATACATCTCTCTTTGGAGAGCCGGATGGAGCAGAGGTTGAGACATTATGAGGTGGCTGTTTCAGCACCAGTCGGCCAAAAGAGCCACTAAAGCCGACGGCGAGGGTGAGAGCGCCCATCTTTGAAGTCTAAAATTAATTTTTGCGCAGAAATGGCTATTTATCAGCAGACGGTGGCTTGATCCCGTCCTTTTAGGAATATTGGATGAACACTTTGCTGCAGTAGTACGTTACCGAAACCAATGAAGGGAGTCTTTGTTGACCGACTTCTGATTGGTTGGTTGGTTGTTAATCATTATATATGTCAGGCTGGGAATCCAAAGTGTGGCGTCACTTCAGAAGAAAAATGAAGAGTTGGTAGCAGAGGTCGGCCCACTTGGAGTTCACATGTCCAGTCTCAGAACTTGAACCGTTTTCTGATTGAATATTTTAGAGTTTAATTAATAACATAATGTGCACCAACTAGCATGCTAATGGCTTGAATAATGACGACTAGTTAACCAGGAAATCCTTTGGTTTTGGCGCCAGTCCTCGCTGTCGATGACTCTGTCCATGCTAATGTTTGCAAGCTAGGCTACGTAGCTTCCCTTTTCCTTGTGGAGCCCAGTTAGCTTAGCCTTTTAGCTTCCATTTTCCAGGTGGAATACAAACTTAGCACCACGACGGGTCCTTGCTAATGTTTAACGGTGTAAACGGACACATCAGCTGCTAGCTAACGCTATGTTGATGTAAAGAAAGGGTTAAAAACATCTTTTGTTTGCAGCTCCACAGTTGTGACCGTGGATGTATTGAATGAAAACTGCTAGCGTGACTCATGAGTCTTTTAGCTTTCAAGGTTTCTTTAGCTTTCAAGTTTTCATCTTAACATTCCCTCCGCTTTCCCCACACATGGGTTCCCACTGGCCCCGTAAACTTGGCATTGTTAGGATGTCACGAAATAATTTTTTTCTATTCGGTTGTGCAAATATGAAGCCTCCACGGCTTGAAAGTGAACATTAGTACATTAAAGGATGCTTGTACAGATGGTTTTACACTTGCAGTCGACGGGAAAAAGCTTTTGGAGCTACGTTTTGGGGGATTTTATTTCTTGCGAACCATAAATTAACAACAAAAATATGTCAAATAAGATGATGTTATTTAGTTTAGTTGAAAAATTTAGATAGTCATACATTTTAAAACAGCTTTATATTGAATAATAATATTTTTAAATTAGTGCATAGATGCGTAGAAGCTTCTTCCACTAAAATATTTACCAGTAGCATCAACAAATGCCCAAAATTAATGAAATGAGTAAATATAGCTGATGGTGGATTCATTTGTACACAATATTGGGAGAATATTGTAATTTTTTCCCCCCATTTTCCACTTTTTATGCAATTACATCCTCGTATCTATTCAGAGAGATTGCAAAAATAAAGCAGAATACAACCTGATGTCCGACTATTTGTTTCAAACCTTGCCTTAAATTTTGAACGCTCACACACTTACTCATGCACAAATCGCTCGCACACTGTTTGGTGCAAGCAGATCCATGTACAAGCCAGCAGCCTGTGTGCGGTCGGTGCTGTTGGTCCTCTTGACCTTTGATTTGATTAGCATTGACTGTAAAGTGCCGTCGAAAACAGATGTGTCAATCTGGCCTCGCGTAAGCACCTCTGGACTGTTCCATGTAAAACTCCTGCTTCCGTCTAAACCGGCTTCGATATCGGAGCTTATTTATTTCAAGAAATGCGCTCATCCTTGTGGCCGGGAGAGTCTGTCCTCCACGAGCAGCGCTGGAGCAGAAGCGTTTAAGGATGCCTTAATTAGAAAGCTGCATATCGATGTCCAAACAACAACTGTAGGATCGCCAGCCTCGGCTTATTAGAGCCAGTCTCGGGGGGAATGGATGTGAGGTGGTTTAGAGAACATCCGAGATATGTGGCTGCATCGTGTCAGCCACAGACACCCGGTGGCAGTCGGTTTATTTAACGGATGTAAGGCGTGTTTTTGCATATTTCAGTCCGACCACAAATCTAGCATCCTTCATACGAGTGCAGGGTAACTCGTCCAAGTATAACACAGCTCCCTCGCTCTCTGGCTTGCCGTCTGTATTCTGTTACAAGAAGGTAGTGGGTGGAAAAAAAAAAAAAAGCCGTTCATCAATCTTAAAAGCTTTTTGAACCATTTGGAAAATGGTCAGCCGCAGTGCACGCGCGATTTGTCATAAATGGGCTGAAACATTCGAACACCTTCGCCGCTTCTGTAAATCAATCTTTCCCCTTCCCTCCCCCGATAATCAATCACTCATCGATCCCCGAGGAACAGGTGACATCGAACTGCCAAACCACTGAGCCGACTCTCCGTGCTGTAACTAATGCCCCTCCAGGAGCCACGTATGAGCGAGATTATGGAGGACGTAATTTGGCGTCTTCATCGGGAGAATTCTCTCAACACCTAATCCGAGCTGGACGTGGCCAGATGCTGCAGAGGGGGGAACGCTTCTGCAGCTGGGGAAGCTTTAGTGGGAATATTTACCACAATGTCATTGTGCGAGTTTCACCCTGAGAGTGTTGGAAATGTGTACTCTGGGGGATGCTGGCCTACTTTGGTATCTATAGTCCCTTTTGTCTGTATACAATCAGGCACAGGCATGCACACACATGGATGACTAGCATCAAACACAGCTCTGTTTCCACGCATGCCGGCAAACATGGAGGAAAAAAAACAAAAAAAAACTGCACAGAAACACCATTTAAGCCCAACAGCGTGCTGCCCTTTCTTGTCTTTATTTGTATGTGAGCACATACCCAAACTGTCTGACGCTTCACAGTTTGCACAAAATGAGGAACATTTCTTGACAAGCGTCACATCAGCAAGGTGGAAAAAAAAAACCTGTCAGCGGTAGGATGCAGCTTTAAGGGGATGTGTGTGGGTGGAGTTATGTTCCTTTTGTTTGTGTGTGCGCTCGTGTTTCCTTGTGATCCTTTTCTCTCTCTTTTTTTTTTATGTAGCTACAAAGTCTTGCAGGATTAATAAAAAGTTCCATCACAGATGCTGTCACTGGGTCGAAAAATAAGTAAAACGCACCCTTGTCATTGTTTGGGTTCCAGTGAATAGCGGCGACGGGGAGAGAAAAAAGAAAAAAAAAAAAAGCAACGCCCCGAACGCTCTGGCCATGCCTGAGCAGCACATTAATCATGTGTTTCTGTGCATGTAAAATGCTCCAGGAAGGATTTTATATTCATTCCACTTAATACCACCCCATGGAAATCGGAGACACAGCCGCTATAATGGATGACAGCTCGAGAAACAATCCAGGAGAAGAAAGCGTGAAGTCTGACGCGTATTTTTCACGGTCAGATACAAGTGCATACATCAAGCCTGGAAGCAGATATCATCCTCCCTTGTGGTGGTGGTGGGGGGAAGGTGGCGGCGAGGAGGGCTCGGTACGTAATGAGGGATGGATGAGACAGCGAGGCAGATGTGCGCCTGACACATCTGTTCAGCGTATGTGTGCATTAGTGGGTTTTTGTAGCTCCGAGAACAATGTCAGGTAGATGACAATCCTGCAAAAAAAAAAAAAAAGAGGGCGAAGAAAGGCGCCGAAAATCGACTTGCCTGCTCATTTCTGCAGGAACTCGCACAAAGTTGAATCAATGCCACCTTAGCAACAGCCTCTCCTGCTCACGAACGAGGTGCCGGCCCCGAGGTGAGGCTGCATCCAACCAAACAGCAGCACTAAACTCCAATGTCAGCCTCGCTGTTCCCGCCACCCGATCCACTTAATTAATCTTCTGGTGCCAGGGCACCGGCTCCATCCGCCAAGGCATCCCTGGATTTGCCTAATTTGCTTAATTAATTAAACAAATGATTTATTTGAGCTCATATTTCAAAGCGGCTGAAAGTTCTTTGTAGAGCCCACTGAGGCATGTACTGTTTTGTTGTGACGGCGAGATGCCTCTCGAAGCTCTGGAAATAAGTGGGCTTTGGAGTGGGCGGATGTCAATCATTCGTTTGCGGCGGCGGCGGCGTAAATGCACGCGCGGATACG